TGCCCTCCATAACTAGGGGTGAAAAGTCCAAATTATTTTTTCGGCAACCTCGTACCTCCATTGGGCGAAACTTTTTCACTTTCCGGGCTGGAACGGAGTACGCAAGGATGAGCAAAACTATTCAAATACCAGTTTCTTTCACCAAACTCAGGAAAGTCGTGTCTCATTATCTTCACTCCTTGTCTTGATGATATTTTTTCTTTTATGTGCTACAGTTGCGTTGAATACTCGTTTTGTTGTGTTCTATTTACATGTTGTTGAGCATGTAATAAATTGAACCCCAGTAAAGAACATAAGAGCGTGACTGTACAAAAAACTTACCTTGGAAAGCCGCTTGAAAGAAAGGTGACTAGCAGATTCTTAAGTGGCGTGGATTGTGCAGTCACTCTCGGCTGATTCCCAGCAATGCCCACTTTTCGAAGCCTTGCTAGCTCCGTTTCTAGCGAGCTACGTGCAATGGTAAGTTTCTTTGCCAGTCAGTTTTAGTGTTCTTGACTGTGGGCTAGCGGTATCACTCCCACACAGTTTGGTGTCAGAAGATAAAAAAACAGTGCTTGGCCTTTAAATTCCAGTAACCGAACGCGAAAGTGGGCACTTGCTAAGTAAAGCGATGCTTTATCGTTTCGCAATTGGTTCGCATTTCCGTTGGCCGACGGCGCCGACCGCACCGACAGTGTGAAGAGCGTCAACACGCGCTCTGGCGCATGACGCGTGCGCTGGGCGCAGATGGGGCGCTCCGGTCGATAATCTTGGTTTTGGTGTATTTCTTGTATTTTTTCGATGTTTTTTGCACACACTTCATGAATAAACAAAATTGCTTACGACCAACACACCCGGTATGGCCACATCCACCCGGAGTTGTGCGACGGGTTCACGACGTCGCTCGCCCGCGGAACAACTGGAAAGTATTAATCAAGACATAAAAGGGCGCAATGTGGCTCGGAGGGGGGGGGCAGCCGCCGCGCGGGGCGTTGCGGCAACAGGAAATTCGCAAGCCAGGGGGAGTGTAGCCAATTCAGGGGGGGGGGGGGGGTGGGGGTGAGGGCAGTCACTTAGCATGCGTGAGAAGCTGAAATGTCCCGTGAAAAGCTGGAATGTTCGAGTTACACTACATCGCTGAGCCGCGCACCGACTTCCCCCCCCCCGAGCCACATTGCGCCCATAAAAGAATAAGTATGAACAGGAAACACACGAATTAAAGCAACACGGCGCGAAAAAAAAATCGAAAAGCACAAGAAATACACCAAAACCAGGATTATCGATCGGAGCACGCGATCTGCGCCCAACGTTCGCGTCATGCGCCAGAGTGCGTATTGACGCTCTTCACACTGTCGGTGCGGTCGGCGCCGTCGGCGCCGTCGGCACCGACCGCACCGATGCGAACTATGAAAGCAGCCTTATAGAGAATCGTGTAAATCGGGCG